AGGGGAGGCTGTGACCCCCTCCCAGCGCTTCCTCCGCCGTAACTGGTGAGGCTGTGACCCCCTCCCAGCGCGAACTGTGGTAACCGGTTGTTTTTTCAGACTGGCGCAGCGAGTGCAGTGAAGAGCTGTTTAATCCCACTCATGTTCCCCACGCAGGCAGACAAGAGTGCTGTAACACCGCGTTCCCGTTACAAGGAGGAGGTATTCCGTAACACGCTGCATGCAGCACCGTTACGTGACTGGCCCAGCCAGGTACACCAACTCACCCTCTGCTTTCCTGCGAGGAGAGTTCCAGTTTCAACATTTACACGAGACTTTACACAAGACAGAGCTCCTTTACATGGCAAAGCTGCTTCCCGCCTCAGCTGCCCCTTCCACTGCCTAATGTGGCACCCCAACGCGTGGCAGCCAGCCAGGGAACACACTGCAGGCCAGGGCAGCTGAGGGTTAGCTCCTTCTGTCAGCTGCCATGGGTTGCCCCCGTTATGCAGCACCCTCTAAGGTCACATTACTGGGTACAGCAGCAGTAGGGGACAAGTTTAAGATCTCCTCAAACGAAGGGCCTTCGTCCTCAAGGGGTATTTCTGCCTCAAACATACGCTGGAGCAGAGCATCAACTGTCCTGTACCCTGCAGGTGGACAAAAAAAGAAAAAAGGTCTCTGAAAGGGCAGCTCCTGCTCAAAGGCTGCTCCCCATATTTTACATGAAATGGGCAAGAAAGCAAATGCCCCAGATTATGTTCCCTGGTATTCTACCCCATATACTTTTAAACACTGTGAGTGCTTGTAAAGGGTTTAAGCACTTCTATTCCCATGTGCCCTTCAACAGGTTTGTGACCCCCATTGGCTGCCATGCTGAGAAGCATGAGCTTGGGGAACGGCTAAGGTACAGCAAGAAAGCCAGAAGAAAATGTACGCATTAAGCCAGAGGAAAGGAGCATACAGTCACCCTGTGATCCAAGCCAGGAGGAAGGCAGAGTGCATACAGGAAAGAGAAAAGCAGAAAGCAGGTATCTGGGCAACAGCAGGACCTCAGCCACCAAGGCAGTGTCTTCATAGACTGGCTACTGAAGACAAGCATGTCCAGGAGGGTCTAAGTAGGAAAGAGCTGCTATAAAAATAGAAAACCAGCAAACATTAGGATGTCCACAATTCTCTGAAAGTCTCCAGCTGGTTTTTAGCTGCTTTTATAGCCCAAAGGAAGCAGAAGTGCTTGGGAGCTTCCCCAGAGAGAGGGCTACAGGCAGGGACAGTTCAGAGCCTCGGCCTCTTAAACAAAAGACGGGCAGACTGTAGGGCTCCACTTACGTTTGGAGGCAATTTTAAACACCAGCCCTTTAGACTGTGGCTTTGTTCCTCCTTCCCCCTCGAGGTTGTGCTCAGCACTCTCCATGTTATCAAGGAGCTGCTCACCCTGTAGCTCATCCCTACACAAGAAGGACCAGAAGTTACCTCGGGGGGGAGGCATGTCCTACCCCAGGCACCCACACGTACCCAGCAGCAGTGGACTCCCTGGGGCAGGGCGAGCACCAGTCATGCTGTCAGTCTCCAGCATCACCCTGTCCTCTGGGCAACAGCCCCAGAGTGGAAGAGCTCAGCGAGGCAGACACAAGGCTGATGCGAGTAGCCTTCTGCTAACATCTAGACCAAGCCTACGTGGTCTTTGACAGACTAGCAAGAACTCCATGACGAGTCTCAGCTCACACCTCAGGACAGAGGGAGGCATTTTGCTGCAGCCCCACAGCCCTCACTGGATGTGCCAAGCCAGCCACATTCAGCACGACCCTTCTGAGGGGGCTTACTCTTGAACTCCCATTCCCAGCTCCTGGATTTTCTGTTCAATGGCTGTTTCTACTTCACTCTTCTCTAGCGAGTACTCCACAAAGAAAGCTTCCAAAATGAACGACACAAAGATACTGAAAGAAATGATGAGCAGAATTACACAGCAGCATTTCCTTACTAGCATCCCCCGTGCTTTTGGGCATCAACTAGTGTGTCAGTATCCCCAGGCTCATTCCGCAGCACTCCATCCCTTCTTCTGCTGGAGATGGGGAGCTCTAAGTTAGAGCATCACTCAGTGGAGATAAGCATAGATGCAGCAGATTTGTCTATAACATGTCCTGCCTGTCTCCAAGAGTTACACCATGTGTAACCCTGGGACGGACAGCAGCGCCCTGGCAAAGAGCAGAGGCCCTCTTCCCTCCAAAATGGATGAGAGCAACCCAAAACTTACTTGACAATGATTATCACCATCACAATGTGGAAGGCGATGAAATACAGCTTCGCAGGCTGAACTGTCACGTTGGCAAATCCATTAGCAAAGAGTACAATGGGAGTTAAGGGTGAAAGTGCTAAAGGATAACATTGTCTTGCTGTGGAGCAGCACTAAGGGCGGAACCAGATAACACTGCCCAGCAGTGACCTTCAGCACAAAGCCCTCTGCAGGGACCATCTCCCAGCTGTCTGGCATCACGGGCAGGGGTGCGTGCAATACAAGGGGACGAGCAGAGTCGGCAAAGAGCATGGATCACCAAGATCTGGTTTGGACCTTCCACCACAAAGGATATCATGCCACTGATTGACTACAGTGAGCTCCATCAGGACGATGAAGGATGATGCAAAGTTGTTGAAGTTGTTCTTGCAGTATTTCCCACGGGCAAACAGAGAATCCTTGAGAGCTGGGTTTCCGCATTCCAGGGCATGAGGAGCATTCGAGTTTACAGGGAAGAACTGGATTTTCCCATGGAATAACTCCATGCCAATGATAGCAAATACACAGTAGACAACCTGGGAAGAGAAACCCCATCGCCTGCTTCTCCAGCAAGCAGCAAGCTCCATGGCAAGTTCAGAGTGCCAGCGGGTTTTCCAGTTTTTACAGACATGGCAAGCTGCTGAGGAGCAGCACAGGGTCCAAGAGACCCAAACCACTCAAAAGCAACTACCAGGCAGGAATAATAAGCCAAGAACTACAGCCCAAATACATGGGAATGAAGTATTCTCAAATATTCATCAATAGGAGAAGCTATTTTTAAGAAATTATTTGAGAAACAGGTTTCTCATTCAGCTTCTTGCCCACATCACAGTTTTACTGCTTACAGTGTGAAGCCCATGCTGCACAGAACATCCCGACTGCCCCACAGAGCAAAGAAAACTGTCCTGACCTGGCAACCAGCAGGAACCCAACCCCTCTGCACACATTTACATGTGTAATGACGAAGAATCAAATGGACACTTACAGTTTAAGGCCCATCCAGAGATTTGCATTTATCCTCTTGGAAACAGCATGAGACTTAAGACACATTCCTGTAAAACTGGAATGCTTTGAGCTAAGATACCAGAATTTCTTACCAGAGTCAGCCCACCAAATGTCAACATTGTCGGTACGATGTTTATCAGTGTGTTCATGATGACCCGGAACCTACAGCAAATGATTCATGACAACACCTGCTGTGGGAAGACTCTTATAAAGTCCATGCTTGCTTATTGTCACATCCCATCCAGCACATGCTCCCCACATGCCCTTATTTATAAGCCTCCAGACAGGCTGCAGCAACTGGGCTCATCCCAGTTACGCTGGGACAAGGCCTTGGGATGCTTTGTTGAGCAGCCACAGTCAATCTAATACAGCAAGGCAGAACAACTCAAGGCACTGTCTCAGACAGCCTCTGACACAGCTTGCCCCAAAACACATATCCCTGTCCCACTCTCTTCATTACCTTTGAATGCTGTCAACAATCCTTATTAGCCTGAGGACCCTTAAGATGAAGACAATGTCCAGGATCTGTTGGCTGTTGTACTTTGTGGCTGAGAAAGCAAAGAAGTTATTTTTGTTACAAAAAACAGCAGGAAAGCATAGAGATAAAGCATGTTCTTACATTTGTTATGATAATGTTCTTGTTAAGCACTGTTTATAACAGGTATTTATTAAAAAAAAAAAAAAAAAAAAGACTGGGTTAGTTCTTAGAAATACTATAGGAAATTCATCGTCCTGTCAAAAAGCCTCCCAAGCCCAAGGTAATGGCAAAAAAACGACTCAAGACTGCTGAGTTTCCCAGATGCATGCAGACTGCTTAAGCTGCACTTACTCGATTTCAGGGTGGTATTGAGTACCGTTGCAATCAAGGCAGCAAAGATGATGAGGGTATCAAACCTAGCACGAGGGAAGGCAGTGCTGTTAGATTTGTGGCAACAGAGAGTGGGCGCTTGAGCTGCCACACAACACATGAAAGTAATAATGCCTCTTCCTCACATCTGTGCCAGGAAGCCCTGCATCATATCAAACTATTTGCAGGGTGGGAAGACGGGAAAGCTTTCTTTAGCAAAACGCTTTCCCCTGCCCAGCCACTGTCTTCACATGCTGCAGAGTCACCTTTGACTGCGCTAGCAGAGCAGGGCAGAGAATAGTAGTCTCTGTCAGAGCCACATTAGAGGCAGGATAGATCACAATGTCCTCTGATGCATACAGTCATTTTAATTACTTCTTGGCACATGAGTTAGGCAGCCCCTCTCTCCAAGAGACTTTCAGTTGCTGAGGGGCTGAACACAAAGATCTCATAACACTTCACACCACCTTTAACACAAATGCTCATCACACTCACCAGTTCCAGAACTGATTTTTGCCAAAGAACGCCCTCGGTTCATAAGTGTACACCTTCAGGAGTATCTCTATTATATACAAAGCAAGGAAGACCCACTCTGCGTAAGAAATATAGGGGCTTTCCTCATCCAGAGCAATGAAGATAGCATTTATCAGAATGATCACATCGTAAGTCCAAATAAATCCCCTGCAAGAAGAAAAAGAGAAACCAGTTTGCCACTCCCAAGAAGGTAAAAGTTACACAGTTATTTCAGGAGTTCTTTGCCTCTTCTCTCAAACATTGGCATTTAAGTAACTACCTCCACCCACCAGTTCTCCCAAATACTAAGAGTTTAGGGAAGTTACTACAGAGTTTAGTTTTGCCCTTGAAGCCGAACACAAGGCAGAGAGCACAAGCCTTCAAGGTACACCACTGCCAGTGCTCTGGGTGTTAAATCAACTCTTGGAGACTGACTGCAACTGTGTTTCCAACAAGTCAAGCAGCACTTCCCAAGCAGAAAGACTGGATGAGTAGAACAGAGGATTATACAGAATTGGGAGGGGTGGCCAGTACACCAGATGGGTGTGCTGGAGTCTGAGGGACCTGGACAGGTTGCGAAGTGGGCAGAGAGGAATCCCATCATGTTCAAAAGGAAATGCAAAGTCCTGCTCCTAGCGAGGAACAACCTCAGGCACCAGTGCAGGCTGGGGGTCAGCCATCTGAAAAGCTGTACTGCAAAGGATCTGGGAGGGGGCGGTTCTCGGTTGTCAAGTTGAACCTGGGCCAGAAATGCACCTTGGTGGCAAAGGCAGCCAACCACCAACATTAGGAAGAGTGTTCTGAACAGGTGGAAGGTAGTGGTTCCCTGACCCTCCCCCCTCCATCCAGTCAGTATTGGTGATGCCACATTTGGAGCTCTGTCCACAACTGGGCTCCCCCATACTAAAGGGACATGAACATCCTAGCGCAAGTGCAGCAAAGGGTCAGAAAAACAATTAAAGGATAGAATAGTTTGATACGTTCCACACAGAGAGCTGGGACCGTTCAGCCTGAAGGAGAGAAGGGTCAGTGGGATCTGAGTATGTATAAATACCTGATGGGAAGGTGTAGAGAAGATGGAGCCAGACTCTTCTCAGTTGTATCCCGTGAAAGCACAAGAGGCAAGGGGCACAAGTTGAAATGCAGGATTTTCCATTTAAGCAAAAAAGGCTTGCCTTTTTTTTTTTTTTTTTTTTTAAATCAAGGGTGGTCAAGCACTAGGAAAAGTTGCAGAGAGGTTATGGAGTCTCCACTCTTGGAGATACTCGAAACTCAACTGGACATAGTCCTGAGTAGCCTACTCTACTGCTTTGAGTGAGGGGGTTACACTAGACCATCTCTAGTTGTTCCTTCCAACCTCCATGATTCTGCAATTCTGGAAAGAGTCAGATGTGAAAAAGAGCACTAATAGCTCATAGTATGAACTTGGTAAGAGCTGACAAAACAGCACAATGCAGCTTCGCAGCAGAGACTGCTGACGTAAGGTCACCTTTAAGTGAAGCATTTAGTCTGGTCATTCAAGGCAGGTCATAAAGCACTTCTTTTCTTTCAGTAAAAGCTATTTACACTCAGCACCTACAGAAGATCTGAACAAGTGGGACTGGAAGAGATATGGACTCGCCAATACCCAAGTCTAGTTTCCCTGCACCACTGAAGGTAGGCTAAGAGCAGAGCTGGTCCACAAAACATTTAAAAACAGAACCCCCAATGTTTGCCTAAATGCAGTTTGCATTTTCCAGCATGACATCCAGACGAGCATTTGCTTGCAACACCACTGCTCCGCAGCCCTTTGAATGTTAAGAGCTGCTTGCTCCACCAGAAGAGGCTTACCTGTGCCTAACCATGCTGCGCAGGAACTGACTCACTGCTGATTTGTATATGCGAGGCACCCATTGCCCCAGTGGATGGCTGCGTATTTTCAGAGTAATCACCTGGATGTTGAGGAGATCTGCCAGTTGTACAAATGACTTCTTGTCTGCGGTAGGAGAAAGCACTACACATCAGTCTGCTGTCATCAAGAAAAAAAAAAAAAAAAAAAAAGACAGCTTCTGGCAAACACAATCCTGTACGCACATGAGTTGCGGCAATCTGGGCTCAATGTCTGTTCACAGCAGCAGGCAATGCATGTGCCTAAAGTGGTATCCACCACAGAACAGGCTGAACTCAGTACTTGAGCAGCTCCTCTGCCCCATTCCTGAGGCACTGGTTCAAGCCACAGGCCAACGAGTACAGACCTTTAATGATCAAGATGGGCACCATCTAGCATGAGGAGACTGACCCATCTCTCCTGATATCCTGTCTCCAGCAGGAGCAGAGCGAGAGGCTCCAGAGGAATGTGTGGGAAGCCACGTTGCTTGGAGGAATCTGATAAAAAGGGAGGCTTTCCTTGTCCTGTGCTGAGAACAGGAGGTGTCACTCTACATGGTGAGCTTGGCCTGATGTCAAATGGCGATGAAGAGCTGCCCACAGTGTACATGACATGGGCTACAGCACAGGCAGAAAGAACAGCCTTTCAGGACTCAAGCAGTCTGGAGGGAAGCAAGAAGGGCCTGGAGTCCCTCTGGGTCCATTACAGACCACAAATCCCAATGCCAAAACTCCTGAAGCATCAGGCTTCTGACCCTGGGCTCCTCCCCAATCCCTTGAGCATAATAGTGCCCCACTGCTCACCTATGAAACCCTTCTGCTCATCATCCGAGATGTGTAGCAGCAGCTCTCGGTGGGAGTTGCTGATATCAGGAGCCACCAGCTTGACAAGCTGCTTCCACCGGGCTTCTCTAACCACAAACTGTGCTCCTTCCTCTTCCTTCAGGAGGTTGAAGGCCTCTATCATCTTGCGGTGCTTCATGTAAGCCAGCTTACGGATCTCATTCTAGAGAGAGTGTTGCGATTCAGGCAACTTCAGTCACCCTTCCCCCTCCTTTTTTTAAGAAAAAAAAATCATCTTATTTTCATGACACAGAGATGCAAGAAGAGACTTGGAGGAACACACCTGGAGTGGTATTAGACAAAGCACAGTACAGTCAGTAGGGGTGATGAGAAATGCTATTTAACATGCCACCATGGGCTCTCTCCACAGCGCTCTGGAAGGATCAATAGATTGCTTGCTGCTGGGAGATGCACTGAAAAACCGGAAGAGGAGATAAAGCATAGTGTCTAACAGGAAGGAGATGACAAAGGTCACAGGATCTGCACGTCCACAGGTCACAGAAGCAAAGAGGACGTGCCCATGCATGCTTCCGATCCGTAAGTGAATACTGCTGAGATCAGGGGTGGAGATGCTCTTCTGCACACGATTACAAGCAGGCTAAAGAACCTTATATCCTTGGAAGACCAGCCTCTGGGAAGACCTAGCAGACCACTTACTGAGAAAGAGCCAACTCCCTCATGGGAGCACCCAGCTCTCACCCTATGATCACAAGTACCAAACTGCAGCTATTCAGTTTGGGTAGAAGAAGGAAGAGTTCCAATTTACTTAGACCTCCCTTTACATTTCATTTGCTTTAAGAGCACATATAGTGGCAGAAAAAGCGTGCTGTGTGCTTACAGCCAACTGAAAACAGTCTCCTGCATAGAGACATTGTCTTTGAGCTAGGACTAAGCCTCTAACAGCAATAATGCAGAGATATGCTTCCTATCTGTTGCAACTTCTTGGATCAACAGCACCATAGAATATTTCATCGTTACATGCTAAAAGCAGAACTCACAACAATCCTCATGATATGAAAGTGGACCTGTGCTTGTTATTTGCAGAGCAAAGGCAAGAAGCTATACCCTCTTCTCCATGCTTCCCAGAAGTGGAAGCTTTCCAAGGGAAAGCCAGATATTTCCTTACAAGGTTATATAAAACAGCAGGCAGTCACCGATCGCAATTCACCCCTCCAAACATTACCTTCAGGTGTTTTTTGTAGTTGTTGTACACAACAGCCAGGAAGAGAGACATGAAGATATAAGTGTTGACGATGACAAAGGCAATGAAAAACAGGGCATACCATGAGCTAAAGTCAAATGCCGGCATCCTAGAGAAGGGCAGAGAGATTGCTACTTGCAAGTAGCACAAACAGGGAAACATGAGAAATCACAATAAAATAGTCTTCCAGATGGATTTCTAAGTACAGCTTTGGATAGCCAAGATCAAACTTGCCAGATAATACCCAAGCTAAAAACTATGCCGTAGTTCAGTTAGAGAACAGTTTTCTTCCGCTAGGTTTTCATCCTAGTTTATAAGGCCCTGATTCAAGGGATGCAGAAGAGAAAGCACAGAGATTAAGCTTCTGTCAGCATGGCTAAGTTCAAGTGCAGTGCCTTGAGGTGATGTCTCATTCATAAGCTGGTTATCGGCTTCACAGACCCTCACTGCACTCAGACCTCCTCCTCTATTTACTCTAGGAGGACTAGTGGCACTTCTCAGTCTGAATGCCCAGGGTCCCTGTAACATCCCAGTTCTGTTCAGTACACAGGTGAGCGTGCCATTCCTCCCTGCCCCTCTCTTTGATGGCACCTTCACAGTACAAACTGAAATGGGAACCCAGTTAGAACAAATGAGGATGGAAAGCCCAACCCTCGCATAAGTTTAACACAGCTGTGCAAATTAAAAAGTCTGCATAAAGCCCTGCAAATATCATGAGAGAAAGAGACATGCGATCGCTACAGCACACCCTTCCTTTTCAGGAAAGGGTTTTAATCAAAGAGGGTATGTGTTTGTCCCTCCAGTTTAAGCCTTCATCAGCTACTAAGTCATTTGGGATGCAGTATTTTTAATACAACTTTTCTAAAAGTCTTCCTAACCTCAGATTCTGGTTAAGAGCCCATTTATCAAACAAATGCCTGAGAATTCATGAAAACGCTGCAGAGTGGAAAAGTGAAAACCCTGCTGCCGCTCTGAAAAACCTTGTTGTGCCAAACACAGTATTGTTCTAACCGGAGATCCTGCCACTAGGAGCAGGACACCAGCATTCACAACACAAAGACTGCAAGCTCAGCATACATACATGACATCCGGGCTGTTTGCTGTTGTCACCAGCACATAGAGGTCAAACACAATTTCTAGGTAGTTTTTGAAATACGGCAAGCCTTCTGCTGTCTGGAGATTCCTAGGAGGAACAGGACAATCTGAAGCTAAGCACAGAAATCACATGTTCCACCAAAGGAACTGCGCGTATCAGCAGTGTTTGTATTCACTAGTAACCATCTGGAGTTGCCACATTCCCTCCCACCTAAAAGTATCACACACATTCTTCCCACACAGATATGAGCAAAATAACTATTCACACCTCTCGCCAAACAGTTTCAAGGCCATGAGGGAGAACATGAGAAGACTAAACATGAAGAGCAAGAAGACGTAGGTGATCTCAGGCAGCGTGTTGCGGATGCTGCGGAAGGCTCTCCGAATCTGCCAGGGAGAAGGGAAGCATTTAGAGGCAAGGTGGTACCTGGTTTTCCCCTCACCCCCCCATCTGGATCAAACACCTACACAGGGACAGGAAAGCAAGGTGGGACACAAGTACTCTTCTGTCATCCAGCAGGAGACATTCTCACCCAGATGTGCCAGCTCAGTTCTGCTAAAACCTGTGCAAGAGCACCAGGCCTTTCCACCTCATTCCCCAGAGGAGATGCTAGGAGGAGAGGACCTATCTACATATTACCATGAACTCAGCTAGCCACGGGCAGAGGGCCCCGTGGCACTGCTGAGATGCTCTTGCTGCAGGGGACTGGTCACGGACAGAAGTCCAAGGCTCCAGGCCACAAAACACATGCTCTGGGCCCAAGAGTTCAACTGCTCCCCCTCCAGACCTCCACACCACAGTAGTTTATTCATTTGTAAGTCAGGACCAGAATGGTCTTGAGCAGCAGGGCAAAGATCTTCCCGTGACAAGAGGAATCAGAGTCCAAATCACCCATCTGGACTGCAAATTCAGTTTCTGAGAAGAGCATGATACTTGTGCTTGTTTGTCTAGGACACTTCCAGAAATAAGTAACCTGGCCCCTGACCCAGGGAGAAACAGTTTTCTTGTCTACGGTGCTGCTCTTGTTCACGCCCCCAGAGGACAGCATCTGACTCTGCTTGCAAGCAGAGGCTGCACTTCCATGCGGGCTGGACTAAGCACAGCCCATGGGCTGACCTTAAAAGAAACATTCTTCCTTCTCCACACAGTCTTACAGTTTCAGCCCCAAGTACACTCAGGGCTCTGGACAGCAACAACCCAGCCCACAGGTACAGGGAGAAGCCTTTTGCTGCCCTGCACAGCACCAAAGCAGCACCGGTGAGGACGCACCCCTCTCTCCATCTCAGATTATTGCTTCAGGCCACCTCCGAGAGAAACCTTCACTCACAGAAGCTTAAATTCTGCCATTTCTGCACAAAAAATGTTTCTACTAAATCCCCTGTATCTCAGAAAGCAGCAGGCTGTCCAAAAACAGAACCCTGCACCAGCAGTACATTCCACCAGACCTGTTCCTTACCTGGCGACTCTCTGCAAAGTTGATCAGGAAGATGGGCCGCACAATTCTTGACCACCGAATGCTCTTCACATTGTATATCCTGAGGACCCCATATATGGCCAAGTCTGTTAGGGATAACTATAGAAGGAAGAAGGAAAATTCACAGAAGCAATGTTGGAAATGCATCTAGATGGTGAAGACAATAGGGTTAACTGATACAAGACAGATGCACACATGACAGGTTTGTGAGAACAGGCCCAATTCTTGGGTGATCTGGCCATGGCTCTTCTAAAGCCCTTGTGCATCAGACGTATGTTACCAGGAAAGCCACAGCAGGAAAAAAAAAAAAAGACACCTCCACACTGGCCTCTTCAAGCTTGGAGGTTCCCCTAGGTCTAACTCACCAAGATTGCAACCATGATGCAGATGTTCTTTGTATCCTTCCAAAATACGTTGCGAAGGGTGACTTTTGCAAAGTGTGCCAGTCGGCCAAAGAACACCAGAAGGCACACCACCTCGACCAGAGAAGTGGCCTGCGGAGAGAGAAGGGGGTCAAATCAGTGCAACCGAGACCAGAGTGAGCCCTCTTTGCACAGATGAGGATGCTCAGGCTGGGGTACAGGCAAAGGAAAAACTTGCAGAGTTTTTCCAGTGGGTTTTTGCTTCCAGCTGTTTTACAGACTCATGTATTTGGCACTAAGCAATAGTTTTAAGCTTCCCTTTGTGCAATTCCCTGCCATGGGCAGGTTAAAGCCAGTAAATTTGTATTTGCTCAGGATTCAAGGAGTACATCTCTCACAAACACACTAGTGCAGAACAAATAAAGGCTGCAGAAAAATCAATCCTAAGGGCAATGCTCCACTTCTGCTTTGAGACATGAGGGATGGACTTGGGTCACAAAAAAGGCCGGAATCGTTCTCCAATATGCTGAAAAGCAACACAACTTTGTCCACAGTCACATGAGCCATTGCTCACAGCCACAATGGCTCCCATAGTCCCTGTCTAGCTCCTATGCACCGTTTTTGTCCCCATTTCAGTAGATCAAAGATATCAACAGAAATATCAGCATCAATTATCTCTTGACACCTTTGACAACTAGTTTCAAGCAAGAAACCTGTGCTTGCTCTACCAAGCAATGTAATACTAGTTGCATTGCTGCTTCTACACTGAAAACTTACCAAGAAGGGGAGCGGATACACAGCAGGTTCTTCAAACACTGCAAGGGACAGGATGAGAAAGATGAAGAAGTAGGTAGTTGTTCGCATAATCCAGTGGTTATAGAGATAATAAAGCCTGCAGAAAGAAGGCAGTGGCACCATGAATAGAGGCTTCAGTGCACATTCCCATGGGCTTGCCAAATATGTCTTGGAAGAACAGCACATGCTGTCCCAAGCAGTCATGGAGGAAGAATGGCAAGAGTAACGCAATTTTCATCAGCCAGGGATTTGGCAGTTTGTTTGCTGGCCCTTCCTCATAGTCTCATAGATGATAAACACTATGCTCCCTTTCACGGAGCAAAAAACCCAGGAAGGTGGAACACAGGCATTCTTCAGTTCAGTTTAAGACTGCAACATACAGATTCAGTAAAGTTGCTTCCTTTTTGTAATTACCTTGTTCCTTAATTTGAGCGCAAACTTCTGCTACGCTCAGGTATCCACATGACACACAAACGAAGTCTGATTAGTTACCTAACACCCTTTCTTTGCATGTTAAAAAGCAAAGAGATAAGAAAAGCCACCAGAGAGAAGTATGGAGTTGCACAGCAAACTGGTTTTTATACAGAGCTTATGCATTATTCTGTCCGCTATGGCAGCAAAACCTGTGGTGAGTGCTAGCGATAACCATGCACGCATCCAGCTCTAAGCCTCCCAAAGGAGGATTCACACAATGGCATGAAACAATGGCTCCTCTGGGGAGATATGGAGCAGATCTGCAGAGCATACCATTTCTCTGCCAATAAAAAAACTGCCAACATTGCCAGTCATCTCATCCTCCCAATAACCATAAAGGCTACAGAGCAGGTGATTGTACAGATGACATGACATCACGCCCTTAATAACACCATCAAGACACGACTGCAAAAACTGCTGATTTCTACTAAGCATACATGGGTAGGACAAAACTATATGCACAGAGTCTGTTTTCCAAAAGCAGAGAGATATTGCAGCTACACAACAGCACACGCCTGCTCGAAGCCTTTGTAACAAACATACTTGTGTCTCCAAGATGCCCAAGAAACTTCACTGGCCAAGACATGAGCACTAAATAAAAGGAAAGGGTTTTGTGGGGAGGGCTACAGGAGTCATTAATGCTCACACGCTGCTTTGCTGGCAGTCTGTTGTATTGCCTTTCCCTTCCATGCTAGCCACCTTCTCTCAAGCTTTACAGGTGGAAATAGTTAGCCTAAAGCAGTCCAAGCCCGAGGGAAAAGTCATCTCACTGAATGAAGCTGCTCGGCCTCTTACAAGCAGCTAAAAGGGAAGAGACTCACTGTTGCAAGCAAAACAGTCTTGACTTGGGGAATTTCTCTTAACTTATTGCCAATTAACATAAGCTTTTAATTACTTCTGCCCCTAGCAGCAACCACCCTTTCTGAAGTACACCTGGAAAGAGGTGCCATACGCTCCTTTGATTAGCTGAAGCGTTGGTGTGCAGTGGCTTGGTGTCACACACTGCCAAACCAACTGGTAACAGCTACGACCGCCTGGCACAGGGCTGCTCTCCCACACAGGCCAACCGTGCAGCCTCCTGCTATCAGCCTTCTGCTATCAAAACCCTGATGCTTACACCCAGTATGGTCACACTCCAGCACTCTTTTCCAGACAGGCGGGGGCTGACCAAGCTTCCCACACTTTTTATCCCCACAGAGTGCTGCAGCTTTGGCCTTGAAAGATTTTTTTTTTTTTCTCCAGCACAAAGCAAGTCTTATTTCCTTTCCCATCCTCAATATACAGATGCAGCAAGTCCCATTCAACATACACATTTCAGCTTAAAACCAGTCCATTGCATTCCACCCAGCCAGCCTTCTTAGCATCCAGCTGGTGAACCTGAGGTCCCCAGACTTTGTCTACTGTTGCTCTTCGGACAACCACTGTGGCTGGCTCTCCCTACCCCAGCCCAAGCATCCCACAGCACCACATGCTGCCCTGTGAGACCCAGCTCTGGCGCGATGGTGTGGGTGCTCACAGGGATGCAGACCTCCTTACCTGACTGCCTCCGGCGAGGTCTTAAAAGGAATATTTCTGTTGTACTGCGCATCGGAGACAAACGCTGCTGCCAGCAGGAGATCCTGTGGAAAGGGGAAAAAAAACCAGGAGACCTGCTCAGTTGGTGCTGGAGCGCGAAATAAACCGAGGGCAGATACTCGAAGATACTCGCCCCTTCCACCCCAGGGCGCGGTACGGAGCTGAGGAGCGGTACGGGAAGCTTCGCGCATCCCCCCCCCGTTCTCCCGGTTGC